AGCAGGTCAGTGAGGGAGTGTTAAAGAAGCCGAGATGGAATGCAAAGCAAGCCAAATGCACTGACAACAACAAGGTCCTTAATTGCCTTGATCTAAATAAGGCCATGGGCAGGCGTGCTTCCGGGTTCCAAGAGGCCAAGGGCATTTCATGGCAGTGGTCACCTGAGAGTCGGCTGCAGCATGTTCTTGGGATGGGTGGATCTGTTTTAGCTGACGCTGCTACCGACAGCCCTGTGATGGTGGGGAAGGAATTTTCCCTGGGGCAGATTGGCCAGTGACTGTGGGTTGTCCTTTGCCGCATGCTTGGATCACTTGCCTGAGTCACTGGAAACATCTTCTCTTGTTCTGCTGTATAGGATGGGTTTTGCTCACGTTGGCCATGTGATAGTCAAGGCAGCAATTTCCTGTTAAGCTCCGATTGGCTTGTGACCAGGGAAAATGTTTGCCTTTTCCAGCAACGTGGTGCTTGGCATGTTCGCCTTAGTCACCTGGAGTATTTTTGCTCAGCATGTATATGCTGTTTGCCCTTTATGCACTTGGGGATGAGCTTGGAGAACTGTGAATGGGTGATCCTAGATGTTTATAATATTCCATATCATTGCCTAGACAAAGAATAGGCAGCATTCCTGATCTTTGGCCATACTAGCAAGAGCTTATGGGAGGTGAAGTCCAAAACATCTGGAGATCTACCTTCTGCTCATTGGCTTAATCCAACCTTCCCCAACCTAGGGTCCTCCAGATATTTCTTGGACTGCAGCCACCATAAGCCCTGACTATTGCTCATGCTTGTTGGGGCAGATGGAAGCTGAAGTCCAGAATATCTGATGAGCTTCAGCTCAGCTTCAGGTTGGGGAGGGAGGATGCCTCCATATAGCCTGAAGTGCCTGATCCTGGCTAATCTTGGAAGCTAAGCAACATCAGGCTTGGTTAGAATCTGAAAGGGAGACTTGAGTCCTGCACGGAGCAGGGGTTAGACCTGATGGCCTTCTAGGCCTCTTCCAACTGTATGATTCTATGACTTAGAACTGGAGAACAAAATGGTATATAGTCCATCCTGCTGAAATTCGGTAGTTGAAAGGTCAAATCCTTTTTTTTCTCTAGATGCCATTAGTATTTATAAGTTGGGAGTTTCTGGGCTGTTTCCAAGGCTGAGCAGTACTTGTTTCGTGAGGTGTGATAGGACAGGATCTTGTGAGCATTTTGCCATTTATAGGGGTTTTTTCTGAACTGACATGCTCCATGTCCCTTAAAATAGAAAGGTCTTCTCCAACTGGTTGCCCTTTAGCGTGTTGCAAGTCAAATTCCATCAACCCTAGTCAATGGCTGTGCTAGCCAGGGATGATAGAAGGTGAAGCCCAATACATTTAGAGGATACCCAGTTGGGGAAGACCAAAATAGACTAATGTTACCACAAGAGCCTCTTCTCTTCTATGAAAAATAAATCAAAGAGATCTTGAAAACTTGCACACTTACTGTGATCTTTAAGTTGAAAGCTAAATTTAAATTTTGTGCAGTCAGACTCTCCCGAAGACAGATGTCACCACTGCAACGCTTCCCCACAACTACTTCAGCTGGCTTTTTCTTTGGATGTGATAGGGAACTGTTTCTTTGATCCTGGCAGATTTCAGAAACATCTCGGAAAGTAGAATTGATTAGTTTGTCATTTTTCTGTCTTTATACCCATGTACACACACAGACTCCCTTGTGATTTAGTATAATGCTTTGCTCTCCAACTGGCTTCCTTGTCAGTCTTGGTCCTTTGAATTGGAATGGTGCTTGGGGCCACAACACTTCCGTTTTGGAGGTTGTGCCCTGGGCAAGGGAACTTCCGCAGGAAAATTTCCTCTGGACAAGCTGAAAGAAGAAGACCCTTTTAAAGGCATGCTCTCGTCATTTAATGCAGGGTTTGCCCACTTCATCAGCTGGATGGACCCTGGGTCAGGGCTTCCGGGCTGCATACGATACTCATTTTCCTTCCTCCTCTAACACAAGCTCTTTCTGGCTTCAGGTAGTCTCTCCCATCCCCCGGGACCTCACAATCCACCATTTCTCTGTTTAATTAACCAACAATTGATACTTCAGGCTACTGTTTAGTCTGAGAAATGATTTTGCTTGTAGCTGCAAGCATCCAGCTTCACATCACAAATCACTAGCTAGGGAGAGGCTTCTTTCTGCCATCCCCCAGCCAACATCTGGCTTTTTCCCAATATTGCACTGAGGATTTGAATCTGCTTCTAACCCTTCCTTCCTTCTTCCTTGTTTGGATGACAAGGAGTTTCCCTCGCCCTCCTCTTGGCTCCCTTGTTCTCCCTCCCCTTCCCACTCACCACCTACTTTCATTTGTTCTTCCTGGGTTCTTTCCACGCAGTGGGGTGCGGAGGGTGTCACAGCCCTACACAGCCCTATTGGAAAGGTTTCCAGTCATCCTGGCTGCCCATCCAGCCCTGCCCTGAGTTTCATCATCGCGGCCCTCCCAAGCCCTGATGCCTTGGCAGTCCCAGCCAGACCTGTGAACTGCCCTGAGCAAGCTTGTTGGGTAGGCTTTGTGAACAAAGACCCGGAGCCCTGTCTCCTCCGATAAATAGGCCAGCCAGGTGACCCTCTTGGACAGGGACGAGGAAGGCGTGGCTGCCACAGGATGTCAAGGGACTGCAGCTCTCATCAGCCCCAGCAGCATAGTCAATGGTGAAGGAGGATGGGAGTTTGTTTGTTTGTTTGTTTGTTCATTTAAAGTTTTTCTAGGTCATCCATACTAAAAAAAATAAGTCTCTGGACGGCTTGCAAGGAACAAAAAACCCAAGGAGCAAAACCATAACAGTAACGATGCACAGCACACTGCATATAAAAATAGTGATAAAAACAAGGATGAAACCAATGGTTAAAATATCAGGAAAATAAAAAGGTCTTTGCCTGATGCTGAAAAGAATAGAACATAGTCCAGAGATGTAGTCCAGCGACCTCTGAAAATTGACAAATGGTACTCCTCTTCTCAGATGGGGGAAGGAAGGAAAGTGTTTGATTGTGTTGTTTTTCTCCTATCCCTCCTCCAAGGAGTAGAGTGCCTAGTTCCTCACTTCAGTGTTTCCAGATCTTGTGCGGTAGAAAGGCAGAGAGAGAGAGAGAGAGAGAGAGAGAGAGAGAGAGAGAGAGAGAGAGAATATGACTGGCCTGAGTAAGGATTTCAACACACGTCTGCCCACTCCTAGTCTGACATTTCTCTGCCAGCCTTTTCCAGCCCACTGCTCTCTGCTTGGTTTGGACTTCCACTCCCATCTGCCCCACAGTGATCACAGTGGTCAGGAATACTGAGAGTTGTCTGACCTACTCCCCCCACACACGTCTTGAATGACAGGACAGTTCTATTAACTCCACCACACTGAATGTGGAGGAGCACTTTTAAAGAGGCTTTGAGGCCTGGATTGCTATCTTACCTCCTGGGGGGTTCTTGGCGTTTTAATGGATGCATGACAAAATAACAGAGTGAATAGATATAGTTTATGGATTGGATCCTGGCGTATTTGTACTGAATTCAACCCAATATACTGAAGACTCATTGATTTTAATGGGTCTGCTTTCAGCATGGCTAAGTCTGGATCCAACCCATTATTTTGCCATTTTAAGGAGGACTTCATGTGGCAAGGGAATAATTTCTTATATATATCCCTTTAAATAGGTGGGTATGCTCCTCTTTCACTTGAATAGCTTCCTAACCTAAAAATTATGATTTCTATATCCACCTTTGCCATTGTACTTTGTACCTGAGTACAACTTCCTTTTTAAAAGTACTTTAGAATTAAAAGGGCTATGGGAACAGAGGGGTGTATATGCTGGAACCCTTACCCTCTAACCCCAGATGTGTGGTGTTATTTAAAGCAGGGGTGCCAATAATATTATTTTCTCACATTTTCCGCAGCTGGGATTCAACCCTGCAAATAGAAGTCAATGTAGAAAACTATTTCATTTCTTTGTTTTATGCTGCCTAATAGCCAAATCTCCCAGGACAGTGCATAAAATGACTGTCCATAATAAAAATGTAATCCAAAATCTTTAACATCCAGATATAAAAATATTTAACACTGTTTAAAAATAACTACAACAGGGACGTGATAAGAAATAATTTAGGTGTCAAGTGTAGAACAGAATCTAGAACTGCTAGCAAGCTCTAGAATATTCAGCAGTGGTCCTACCACACCAGATGTGCTGGACTACATCTCCCAGTGTCCCTCTGGCAGCAGTGGGCTGTCTGTTACATGCTATTTTGCATGCTTGTAGTATCTCTTAGATACTCTTAGAAGTACTACCAGGCTTGGGGCCCATTAGCAAGCTGTAGGATAATCCTACATTATGCCCTGTAAAATCAGTGGATGCTTCTGCAGCCACTCTCCACAAATGTGGTGAAGACCAGAAGAGGGAAGCCAACCCTGATTGTGTGCAAAAAGAAAGTTCTTTGACTGGGGTTCTTATAGGTAAAGGGCTGTATCTAGATAATAGTTATATTTAGGGTAAACCCATTGAACTCAATAGGACTTGAGTCAGGAGAACTTTAAAACTGCTTTCTTTCAATGGGCCTACTCTAAGACCAAACCTGGAGCCAGTTCATAGTGTCTTTCAGATGGCACCACCTTGTCCTGGCTCCAGAGTGACCCTTCTTTGAGAGGGTTTGAAGGAACTGGGTGAAGTAGGCCGGAATAAGTGACTAGTCAAGAGAGGAAGATGCTTTACAGCTAATCAAACAGATGATCCATTGAGCTCTGGATTGTCATCGATTTGGCTGCCAGCAGCTCCCTGAGTTTCAGGAAAGCACTTTCCCAGCACTGAGCCCTGGCCTTTCTCAATGCAAAGCAGGCGCTCTACCCTTCCCCTGAAGTGGAACAATCCTCTAGATGAAAAGTGGGAGCCCATGGACATGGGTTATTCAACCCTACCTATACTGCATGTCTTGTTTGCAGTGCCACAGTCTAGACCTCCCATTTATTTGTGTTCTCTCTTTTTCTCCCCAGGTGAAAATCTGGTTCCAGAATCGAAGGTCCAAGTTTAAGAAGTTGTACAAAAATGGCGAGGTCCCCTTGGAACACAGCCCCAATAACAGTGACTCCATGGCTTGCAATTCTCCACCATCACCTACCCTCTGGGACAGTAACACCCACAACAATCCAGCCAACAGGAGTCAGCTCCCCCAGCCACTGGCCTACAACTCTCCCCCAAGCTACCTGGAGGACCACAGTTCTTGGTACCATCATCAGAACCTGAGTGGGCCCCACATACAACAGCAAGGACCTCCGCCCACTTCTGGCTCGATGCATCACCCATCTCCGGGGCCTCCTCCCAATCCTGGAGCGGTGTATTAACCTCCTTTGCCTCCTTGATGAAACCAGTGGAGCAGGAAAGAAGGAATGAGGGAGAGAGAGAGAGGGAGACAGAGAGGGAGAAACAGACAGCCAGCAACAAGTCAAAACTCTTTGATGTGTTTCATGGGACGTGTACACATTCCACCCCATCTCAGGAACAACTGAACTGCAACAGGGTTAAGACATTTTTGACAGATCTTCTAAGGACAGGAGAAGAGGGGGAGGGAAAAAGGGGGGGAGGGAACAGGTTTGGGGTCTGTGTTGTATCTCCGTTGGTCTCGCCCTGAACTGCATGACCAACCCCGATTTCCTGCATGGTTTCTCTGTGGGCAGTTTCTTCCCCATCACGCCTGTCAGCGTTGTTTGGAAGTCAGCAAGGCACTGTTGGGAGGTCCTCTGCTTGCTTGGAGAAGAGCAAAGATCGCACAGCACAACTCCAGGATTCCAAGAAGAAAAGATACAAGTGCTTCCTTTATCCTTTTCTTCTGTTCTCTTCATTTTGCTTTGTTGAACTCTCCCGTGCAATGTGGTCTCTCTACGGAGGGCTCCGCAAGATTTGGCAGAATTTCAGGCACAAATCAGTGTCATCCGTGGCAGGGGTAGGGCTGGTGGCATTTCTCAATCTTGCAATTAGGGAATGGGGAACAGTCTTTTGTGTGTGTCTCTATTTCTGTACACCCCTTGGAAATAATATCCAGTTATAACAACAGAGTCTTATTTAATGACATGTTTGCTATAATCCAGGCAATATCCTACCCCCATATGTTTTGGACTACAAATTCCATAAGCCCCAGACAGCATAACTATTGGTTGGTGATTATGGAAAGTGTCATTCAAAACATCTGGAGGCCTTCAATAGGAGTAAACTAGCCCAACCCTGGAGTAAACTTTTGAGGAGCATGGCTGTGATCCACAAAAGCTGCTGCCAACTTTCCCCATCTGTGGCCCTCCAGATGCATTGGACCACAAGTCCCATCATTCCCAGCTAGCATGAATGCCATAATAAAAGGGTTAGTTTTAAAAATCTCTGTAAGACTTGTGTGTTGCTTTTGCTACCAACCAACCAAGCGGGCCTTACCCCCAGGAAAGGGCACTGGCTTTGCATGCCGGAGGCTCCAAGCCGTTTTCCCAACATCTACAGGGAGGGCTGGGAAAATTCCTGCCTGAAATCCTGGGAAGCCACTGCTGGTCAGTTTTGGCAATACTGGGCTAGTTGTACTCACAGTCAAACTCAGTATAGTTTATGGTCAATAAAATACTCAGTTCAACATTAAACAAGACAGTTAAGAAACAACTTGGCAGATAGACATTATCACACATTTTCTAATTCATCAAGGGTTCCTAGAAACATAGATAGTCTGCAAAACTGAACATTAATGTGGTGTTAACTTAGTGCTATTGAGAACTTGCGATCACGCAGAACAAGGAAAAGATTAGAGGAAACACTGCTTCCGCTCTTGTCTCAGTGGTGGCTATTTCAGCTAGATACTAGAAACCATCCAGGGTGCATATACACAAGATGAGGAAAGCAAGATAAGAGCCCTCGGAGCTTCTCTTTTAGTTGGTAATAATCTGAGGATAAAAAGGAAGAAAAGAAAAGTCGGGATACTACTTAGCACCAGGCCAGGTTCAACAAAAAACAACCACCAAGTGCCTAAATATGAGATGGACTGAATCCATAATGGAAGCCACAGCCTTGAACATGGAAGAGCTGAGCAGGACTGTCATCTATGGAGTCGCCATAAGTTGGAGGCAACTTGATGGCACATACACCAAGTGTTATTTGTGGGGTGAAAGAAGTGTGCTAGTACTGGGGGGTAAGAGGGAAAGATTCTGATTATTTTTACAACACTGTCAGTTTAAAGTAGCTCCCTCCTCCTCCTCCGCCGCCGCCGCCACCTTCTCCTCCTCCTCCTCCTCCTCTTCCTCTTCTTTTTTAAAAAACCAGTTATGCAAGAGTTACACTACAGGTATGTTCAGTTTACATAGGACTGGGAGGGCAAACTTTTGGTTCCTTGGTTTATTCCAGCTGTCGGGGAGTGAAGAGGTCAGGGGTGAGGAAAACTGGGGAGAACTTTATGTCAGTTTTCTCATGGGTCACTCAAGGTTTACATCAGATTAGGGGTGCAAATCCTATATTCGGTTTCCAGGGAGTAAGACCCTTGGGACTGACTTTTGAGTTCGCATGTATAGGATAGTGCTGTAAGAGGTCAGATTGTTACTCAGCAAAGACAAAATACCATTACAGAAAGGGAAGAAAAATCCTAAAACTTTACTGACAAAATTGGTGCTATGCTAGCTACACATAAGAGATAAAGTTGACAGCATCAGAATAATCCTGAGAATCGAAATATCTGGACAGCGGCTCATGCCAGTTTATACCACTTGAGAATTTGACCTTCATTTTGGGTTTTTGTAAGGGGATAGATGGGGGAGAAATGTTTATTTAAAAATTTAGGGAAATATTTAAAATACTTCAGGAATAATTTAAGTTATTGATTTTTTTGGAAAAAAGAAAGTGAACTTTGTCTGAGTGTTGCTCTACGTATGTCATTTTAAGCTATTGTTGAAGAGGAAAGGTTATTTTTTAAAGGAAAACAAGAACAAATCCACCTTGGATATTTTTTTAAATAAACAAAGCTGTGTCTGGTTTTAAAAAGCTACATTTTAATAAGCATTATCTTATGATGTACAGAGTCAAGGTTGCTATTTATGTTGCCTTGTATAATAAGGAGAGAAGGGTGCGGGGAATGTACATACGGCTGATTTGTATAAAGCTTATTTTAAATTTTTAAAAAGGGTTTTTTCCTCCTTTTTTATCATGGCTTCTTAAAAAAGAGAGCATCTCATTGAGATGAGAATTTTGCTTAAGTTCCCTTTCTGCTTTGGTAGTGAACAGAAATTTCCAGTATGATGTTAATAAAATATTTTGAACTGTACAGAGTGAGGCTTCATTTTCTTTCAAATGTATTGCTTTTGGAATGGTGCAGATTTTGCAAATCTAAATCTACAAACATTCTGGCCTCTGGCAGCTTTCATGCAGTGCTGACTCTTTCCCTAGAAATCTCCACTTTTCCTCCTGTGTGCTCACTTATCCTGGATTGGGCAACCTAAGCTCCACAGGGGCTGAACTGCAAGGATTTCGGGTGTATCTTTCTCAAGCATACTGACATGACAGTATGGGGCAACTCAGGGTTGATTCTCACCATTGGGTCTGCAGATGGTAACATGCAAGGACGTGATCAAGCGCTACTCTGAGATATGAAACACCCACAGATTTGTCGATACTGCATTCGAAATGTGGTTCACTCTCTGCTGTGTACAGGTCAGTCAACCTGCAAGGCCCCAGAGCAAGGTTAGATAACCTTGCAGACTTGGGTAGCCGACTTAGATGATCGGATAAACATGCACCTTCTTTTTCCTTTTGGCATTACAACGAGCAAGAGGGCCAGAATGCTCTGGAACAATTTTCTGATGCCAGGATTTGTTTGTTTGTTTGCTTAGTCGCAAAGTTGTGCCTGACCCATCATGACCCCATGGACAACATTCCTCCAGGCTCTCCTAGCCTCCACCATCCCTCAGAGTCCACACAAGCCCACACCCACTGCCCCGTCACTCCATCTAGCCACCTCATCCTCTGCTGTCCCCTTCTTCTTTTGCTGTCAATCATTCCTAGCATCAGGGTCTTCTCCAGTGAGTTGTTCTTTCTCATTAGGTGGCCAAAGTATTTGAGTTTCATCTTCAGTATCTGGCCTTCTAGGGAGCAGTCAGGGTTGAGTTCCTTTAAGTTCAACTGGTTTGATCTCTTTGCAATCCAAGGAAGTCTCAGGAGTCTTCTCCAGGACCACAATTCAAAGGCCTCAATTCTTTGGCATTCAGTTGTCCTTATGGTCCAGCTTTCACAGCCATACATTGCAACTCGGAAAACCAAAGCTTTGGCTATATGAACTTTTGTCAGCAGTGTGATGTCTCTGCTTTTTAGTATGCTGTCTAGATTTGCCATAGCTTTCTTCCCAAAGAGCAAGCATCTTTTAATTTCTTGGCTGCAGTCCCCGTCTGCAGTGATCTTGGAGCCCAAGAAAATAAAATCTGTCACTACCTCCATTTCTTCCCCCTCTATTTGCCAGGAAGTGATCGGACCGGATGCCATGATATTAGTTTTCTTAATGTTGAGTTTCAACATGCCAGGATGGCTTGGTGATTTGCATCCATGTGCCAAGTGAAAAAATGTACTGCACTTTGGCTACATGGTAGAATTTGCAATAGAACAGCCTTCTCCAACCTTCTGGGCTTCAGAGGCATTTGGACCACAGCTCCCAGAATTCCCGTCCAGCAGGGTCATTGACTGGGAATTCTGGTTGTTGCAGTTCAAATGTGCCTGGAAGACACAAGGCTGGGGAAGGCTGCAATAGAGCATGTGGGGACATTGCAACCTGTATTTCCAACATTGCAGGGCTGGTATCTCAGGCAGGCATGCTTAGGCACCCGCCAAGAGCCCACACTCCAACAGTGGCCCACTCACAAGAGCTCCCTGAAGTTGCTCCTCTGTTTCACCATCGCAACCTGCTTGTTCACCTGCCTCTTCGCCAGCCCTGCACAATGATGGTGGTGCTAAGCAGGAGCAGCAATAGCTGGTGAGGCAGGGAGTTAGACGCCACCTTCTGAGGGAGAGGTCCACTGAAGGTGTCTTGACTGTAGATCCTGCAGCCATCAGTATGCCAGAAAAAGCCAACTTAGTGCCCACCAGGATTGGGTCTGCAACTCACATAATACCTGGTCCTGGGCCATGCTGGTTTGGGCCTATGGTAGTTGCAGTCCAAAGCAGCTGGAGGTTCCCAGGTTGCCTACCCCTGGTTTATATGATCCCACCTAGCAGCATGGGAAATAGGAAATCACCCCTCCCTGACCCTGACCCCCAACCGGGGGGGGGGTGCCCTTGCAGAGATGCATCGCTGAAAGGGGGCACATGGGGTGCCTTTGGGTGCTGTGTGCAGAAGGAC